GAGAGTTAAAATGTAATAATAAAATATTTCAGAGTTGTTTTTAACACAAAAAGTGTCATTTTAACTATGTGAATGTTAAATAGGAGTTGGAGTTGATATGACTGAAGTAAATTCATCTTGTACTACTGGAGTATTTGATTGTGTTGTTTATTTACTGCAGCTCGTGGTTTCAGTGATATCGCAGTATAATCCTGTTTGAGGTTTTTTGTGTCTGTAATGAGTTTCAGTAGTACTGTTTATCGAGTATATTTACTTGAGCAGTACTGTATCTCACACCTCAAAACAGGCCTAGTACCATAAAAAACATCATTAATAATAAAGTGTCTAAGGAGCTTCTCTCGGGTCAACAAAGTAATGAAAGTAATGTAGCACGAACATGTGGAGAACACAACTCATGCATCTGCTCACACTGACAAACACACACAGCTCACAAGCCAATCACATCTGATCACAATCTGATCACAATCTGATCACAATCGGCTCTTCTGAACGATTCCTTATCGTAAACTGTTGGAACTGGAACTCATTTTTACAAAGAACCAAATCTTTTTCTTTATAAGTTGGATGTATTTGTGTACAGAGTCATGCTGAACCAACACAAGAACCAACAGAAGCAAAGAGCCAAACACCACTGAAAGCTCAGTGTACAAAAACAACACATGTACTGCAGTACTAGTAGTAATTGTAGAAGAAGTAGTAGTAGTGGTAGAAGTAGGAGTAGTATTAGTACTAGTGGTAGTAGAAGTAATAGTAGTAGTAATAGTAGTAATTGTAGAAGTAGTAGTAGTAGTAGTAGGCAGCAGTAGTAGTAGTAGATAGTAGTAGGTAGTAGTAGTATTAGTAGTAGGCAGTAGTAGTAGTAGTAGTAGTAGTAGTAGTAGTAGTAGTAGGTAGTAGTAGGTAGTAGTAAGTAGTAGTAGTAGGCAGTAGTAGGCAGTAGTAGTAGTAGTAGTAGTGGAGGAGGAGAAGGAGTAGTAGTAGCAGTAGTAATAGTAGTAGTATTAGTAAGAAGTAGTAGTAGTAGTAGTAGTAGTAGTAGTGGTATTTTTATTATTATAAATACGTTTGGTTTTCGATCCTCATAACTCTCTCTGTCTCTCTGAGTTTGAAGCGTCTGAATCAGACCTGAGCGAGTCTTTTGAACGGCTCTTTGACATGAACTGATCCAAAAGATCCGGCTCCCATGAAAGAGCCGCACGTCTCGTCTCTTGTGTGTACTGGTCTCATATTTGTACCTGCTGGTTCTGATAGGCTGTGACGGTGGTGAAGACGGTCTCGGGGAAGGAGAAGGTTCGCGTCCCGTCTCCGCTGGGGACGGCTCGCACCGGGGACAGCTCCTCTCCACACTCCTTCCGGATCACGTGAACGCGCGGCTGGTACTTGTGCATCGAGTGGAGAATGATCTGAAAGAAAAGGAAGAAAAAAAAATTACAGATTTACAGAGATATTTTGGGAGCAGCGACAGAGAGATGGCAAGACCGAGCGGAGCTGTAAAAAGTACAAAGTAGAACATTTCTTTCCTTGGAGAGAAAGTGAAGTCGTATAGAAGAACGTAACACGATGTACTTAAACGTGTCCAAGAACTGAACAACTGTGTTTAATCGTCTGATTTACAGATCCACTGCTCGGGGGTTTTCTATGACCGATACCGATACCATTTAGAGTCCAGAGCAACAGATGACCGATAAGCATTGCCGCCTAGGGTTAAAATTTCAGGGTAAAATATTTCAAAGTTGTTTTGAACACAAAAAGTGTTATTTTAACTCTTTGAAAGTTCAATGGAGATTGGAGTTGGGGTCATTTAAATATGACTGAAGTTGATTCAACTTCTCTTAGTGTTAATTTGACTCCTCCCACCACCACTTCAAACTCCAGTGAGAGAAGACCAGTGTGAACCAGTTTTGTTCATAATTTCATCTTAAATTAACTCAAATGAAGTCAAAACAAAACACTTCTGTGTGTTGTTTAGCTAAATCAAGATAACTCTACAAAGTGTTATCTGTTTACTCTCAAAACATTAATATAACTCTGGATTTTGGGAACTTTGGTCCAGTGTTACTTAATGAACATTTCCAAAAATGTTAAATTAACTCTAGAACAGATTGGACTCATATAAACTCTGAGAAAATGTTCAAAATGATTCTGTCAGAGTCAATTTTAACACTGCACTTTTTGCTGTGTGCTCTCACACAGGCTTTTTTCTTTTTTTTTTTTTTTTTTTTTTTAACCACAAACTTATAAGAGAGACATTTATTGCAGTTTTTTTCTTGTTGGGTGTTTTTAGGAAGCAAATTGACCAACATAAAATCTGGGCCTGTGCTGGAGATTTAATTTTATTTAATTTAATTAAAGCACCGGACCTTGGCACTCACTAAACACCTTTAAAAAAACTGCTCCAAACTCACCTTTTCCTCACAGCGAATAGACCACACACACGACTGCTCCTCATCACTGTGTTTTGTGTCCTGTCTTTATTTAAATGTTATTTTACTGTGAAGCGTCTTTATGTAGCATATATATATATATATATATATATATATATATATATATATATATATATATATATATATATATATATATATATATATAATTATTATTATTATTATTATTATATATATATAAAAAGTCCAATTATCGAGCTCATGTATCGGTCTGTTTCACGATATAACATGATGGTATGTATTTTATTTATGCTTCTATGGATATGGTTGATATTTTTTGTTTTAAATCACAAGTTGTGTTTTTCTTCTGTGTATTTCAGACTGTGTACTTTCTGTGCACAAATGGATTTTGCAGGTTTCAAAGCAGAGTACTTTACAGTTTGGAGCAGAGTACTTTAGAGTTTGGAGCTGAGTACTTTAGAGTTTGGAGCAGAGTACTTTAGAGTTTGGAGCTGAGTACTTTAGAGTTTGGAGCTGAGTACTTTACAGTTTGGAGCTGAGTACTTTACAGTTTGGAGCAGAGTACTTTACAGTTTGGAGCAGAGTACTTTACAGAGCAGAATACTTTACAGTTTGGAGCTTCTGTGACTCTGTTTACATGCACATCACAAATCTGCTCCTTATCTGATTTCTGGAGTTATCTGATTACTGACATGTCGTGTAAACTGTTACATCTGACGTGAGTAATCTGCACGGGTGGAAGAAGTACACCATTTGGTTACTTGAGTAAAAGTACCGATAATGGAGAGAAAAAGTACTCAAGATTAAGTTGATTTTGTCAGGTAATACTTGTACTTAAGTAAAAGTATTAAAGTATCTGTTTAAAAGAGTAAAAAGTGAAAGTATTTCGTGCAGATTTTGAGATCTAATAAAGATTCAAAGGTTGTGACTTTGATACAGATTTGTGCTGAATTATGTTCAAGAGAAACAACTGCATCAATGTTGTTTTTTTTCTTTCTGTTTATATTTGTATATTTTAGTTTGCTCAAACTAAAAATGTGTTAAAAATTAAACCCTCAGCTTTTTCAGCAGGTCTCAAACTACAATAAAATTGAAACAAAACAAAACAAAAACCTTTTTTTTTTTTAAGTTTTCAGTCCAATTTAAAATCATAGTGGAGTAGAAAGTACAGATATCTGCTCTCAAATGTAGTAAAAGTGAAATGTATCCACTGTATACAGTACATACAGTATATACAGTACTTTAATACTTTTACTTTCCTACATTTATCTTGGACTTAGACGAACTTTATTGATCCACAATGGAAATGATTTGGACACAGCAGCTCACACATCACAATAAAAAATAATAAGAAAGAGAAAAACGTAGAAATGGTACAAATAAATGATCAAAAATAGCAAGCGACTGTCATAATTATATCAAAAGTAGATTTAGATTTAGATTTAGTGCTTCACTCACATGTCCTTGGTCGTCGAGCTCGTTGTTGGTCAGTTTGAGTTTGTCGAAGCTGACCACCTGCCTCATCCAGGTCTCTCCGGAGGCGGGCGAGTCCGGGTGGATGTAGACGCGCGGGGGGCACCGGCGAGTCCGCGTTCCCCGCCACCATCCACTTGGAGCTGTGATACACGTACCTGCAGAGAGGGGGCGCTCTGTCACACACTGCACGCTTTCCAGAGCTCCTGTGACGCTACGCTGTGTCCGAGTTTGTGTGGTTTGTTTCATTCACACAAAAGCTGCAGATTTAGACTGAGCTCTCATCTCACACTAAAAACACTCTGTTCCACCTTGTGATGTCATGTGGTGATACAGGAAGTGCCCCACTGTGTTTTTAAAATCCATACACCTTCACTAGAATCATTTTGATGGTTTAACTCCTGGAATTCTCAATCTCTATTGCAGTAAAAGCAGCTGTTAATTTGAAAACTACCTCTTCATGACATCACAAAGTGGATCAGAGCATTTTCAGGTTTGCAGATGTACACAGACTAATTATAAAGTGTCACTCAAACAGTCCAGGTCTGTTTTTGAGGAGGAAACCACATTATAACACAACTTAAAGCTCACAAGAATCCATTTTGCGTAATATAGAACCTTTAAATAATATTTGTTTTAATAAAATTATAAGACAATAAAATAAAAACAATGAGGTGTAAACATTAAAAACACATTCAAACAGCTCAACAATAGATTTTAAGAGTTATAAATACTAAAAAGTGTCGCTGCTTTGTCCTGGTTCCTCCTCGTTCTCTCACACTCAACATTTTTGGACATTCTGCTAAATATTTACATTTCAAAGATGAATTTAGAATTTAAATAAATAAATTTAAAAATGACAATATCACGCGGACATAAGAGGGACTTTTTTTTGACGCACATTGGTATAAAAATAGACCTCAAACTAAACAAATTGTTATGATGGTGAAAAGGTGACGGTGCATCATCTTCATCATCATCCACACTGAGCATCACATGTACGTTTACTGAAAATTAATTTTATTCAAATAAGCTAAAACCGACCAATACATCAATGAATTAAATTAGTATTTTTGTGCGTTTATAGTTTACATTTTGATTATTATTATTGCTGTTGTTTTATGTTGTGTTTGTGGATTTTGTTCAGTGAAAATGTCCAGAATAAACGTATTAGAAATGTGTGTTTTGGATCACAGTGGTGGAACGTAACGAAGTAAAAGTAATGAAACAATGTACTTGAGTACAATTTTTGAGGATCTGTACTTTGCTTAAGTACATTTTAAAGTCGATACTTTTTTAAACTTTTCTTTTACTTCACTATATTTGAGAGCAGGTATCTGTACTTTCTACTCCACTACATTTTAGAACTGGACTGAAAAGTAAAAGTATTTTTTTAGTTATAGTTTGAAACCTGCTGAAAATTCTGAGGGTTTATTTTTAACACGATCACAACACAAATAAATACATAAAAAGAGCTAGAATAAAAATAAATTTCAGCACAAATCTGTATCAAAATCATTACATGTGAAGCTTTTTTAGAACTCAAAATCTGCGTGAAATACTTTTACTTTTTACTCTTTAATTCCTTTTTTAAACAGGTACTTTAATAATATTACTTGAATAGATTTTTTTTATGCTCCTGTAGCTGCACTTTTACTTGAGTAACAAAAGTGAGATCCCAGGCAGTGAAAATAGCTATAAAACTTTTTTTTTTTTTTTTTCCGCCCTGATTCAGATTTAAAACTTAATTTGCATAATTCGGTCCATTCCAAATTTGAGCCTGTCCCGTAAAAACACGCGAGAATTTAATATTAAAAACTAAACCTGTGTGTGCGAGTGTCCGGAGCGTAACCTGGCTGAACGATTGCGCATTTGTCCACTTTTACGACTTTTGCCAGCGTGACCCTGCGCGTGGAAAGGTTACCGTCCAAAAGGCCCAATCCAAACGCGCGGCCATTCTTGTGCGCAGTGCCACGGGCCATTCGTGGAAACTCGACGGCAATTTACGCGAGCTAAAAATACAACTCTGCAGCACAGTCTGGTCCAGAGCGGGCGCATTCCTGGAGAGGTTGTCTCGACGTATGTCTTATAATTACGCACACACACTGCATTAACGCGCGCGCACTCACCTGTAGCGTTTGTTGTCCACGGGGATTATGTCCATGGCGATGTAGTACTGCTGGTGTGGGTCCAAACCTGTTATCTTTACGCGCATGGCAGGGAACATCCTCCTGTAATAATAATAATAATAATAATAATAATAATAATAATAATAATAATAATAATAATAAAACGTCACTTGTCCTCACTCACCGTCCCGCTTTAGTGATGATCATCTCCGTGCCGATCTCGTGGAACCGTTTCCAGAGGTCGGAGCCCTGCAGGTCGACCCGAGTCTCCTCTGCGCCGCCGCCGGTGGAGACTGTCCCCGGCCCCGAGCACAGGAGCCCCGGCTGCGGACTCTCCAGCAGCACGTCGTCGCTCTCGGCTGCATCGTAAGAACACGTCGGATCAAAACACGGCCCGTTACACTGATGAATTGTTTTTGAGCAACACAACTCTAGATTCCAAAAGTAAGCTATTTAAACTTGGTTACTGCTGTGGTAATTTTGTATTCAGGCCTATTGTTTTATTTTCTCGTATCCTAATCATGCGTAATTGTGCCAAACGTTTTTACGCACGGACTTTAGAACATTAACACAGTGAATACACACAGGGCCTGCAGACTACCTCTGGAAATGCACGACATGTAATTAAAATTAGGCAACTTGGTGCATTTTAATAGGTTATTTTGGCCTTGCACACATGACATTAAAAGCTGTAATAGCGGTGTTTATGTGTGTTTGTGTGTGTTTATGTGTGTGTCCGCTCTGCTCCACACGGGCCTCACTGGGAAATTTATGGATATTAGTCGTGGGCCTAACGAGTGCGATCCGCACAAAAGACAAACCAAAGCGCGTTTTAAACATGTAGAATTTAAAGTGTAATTTGTCGAGGTCGGTCAGGTCACTGTTTCAGACCGGGATCCTCTGTCATCCCGCTCTGGCCGCTTTACACGCTGCTAATTGGTGTGTTTATGATTTAACACAACTCATAAAGCGCCTCACGTAAGCGCCGTCACAGACGCGTCCAGCACCGCAGCACAGACCAACGCTCCAAATCTATTTCACTTATTTCGTTTTGGTGCTTTTTTACTTTGGCCGTGCTCACGTGAACTTGGCTGCGTTTGCAGAAACTACAGATGTACGGCTGCAGAAAGTCCAAACGCGCGTGCTCCATTGTGTTAACTTATTTTATTTCTAGACAGAACCTAGAGTGTCAGTGGGACAGTCCTGAAAAGCGTCGGGCTTGTACATCAGCTAAAAGTGTCAGAGTATTTTGTGGCTCTCGGGCCGTACTCACGGGAGCCGTCGCTGCACTCCTCACTGCCCCTCTCGCTGACACACGCTCTGGGCGCGCGCGGGCTCCGGCTCAGGTCGCACACATCGGTGCGGTCCTCGTAACCCGGGGTCAAAACCTCCTCTCCGCTGGTTCTGCGCCTTTTCTCGGCCCCGATCAGCGATTCCACCGAGAAAGCGTGCGCCTTGACGCTGAGCGCGCACGGGGAGCGCCGCTTCTCTGCCATCTCTCCACGGCGTGGGACAGAAGAAACACAAACACGGAGTTTCACCGAAGTTTGGTCTGTGCGTAAAAGTACAATCCAAAGAGGCTGCGCGCCGGCTGCGTGCGTCCACACTCACGACAAAGTTAACACCAAAGTGCGCAGTGAACACGTCTCCTCTCCTCGTGAGCTCCGAGCTCACTTTTGCAGAGTGTCAACAGCCCGAGCAGAGCAGAGCCCCAGAGACCTGTCAATCACAAAACTCAGTATCCAATGAGCAGAGCGCACGGCCCCTCGTCCCGCCCGCCGCGGGGAGCTCGTGCCGCCCACAGAGGCGAGAGCAGTGAGGGGCCAGATTCTCACACGGCGCTACGAGATGCTTCATGTGCTGTTTCTGAAAGCCGCGCACTGACCGCGGCATCAGGCGAGACTTTTGTAAAAGTATCTCTTTTACGCACGCACATGAAGACACAGGACAAGGTTAATTCATTATTAATTTACTACTGAGAAAGATTTCAAACGTGCACGCGCCTGTGAGACTTGAGGTGCACAGTTTTGGTCTAAAGATTCTTCCAGATGATTGGGCAATATTTACTTGAACAGTGATCTGGCGTTTGTCCGCGCGTGGCCTGTGGTCCGGAGCAGGCCCCGAGCGTCCGGCTCCGGTCAGGTTTACTGGAAATGTCTCATCTCTGCACTGTTATCGCGGACGGGATGTCAAAAGCCGTGTTTTGTAAAACTGCGTTGACCATTTAAACGCTCAAACCCACGCGCCTATTATTATTATGAAAACTACACACGCGCGCCAAAGAAAACCCCGCGTGCACAGGCATATTTGCACAAGGCTAATATAATAGGCCTCGAGTTTATGTGCCTCCCCCTGGAATCATCTGTGTATGTTTTTCTTCCTACTGTCATGGCATTTAAAAAAAATATCGTTAACATTTAATCTGCGTGTTTCTGGGAGCACGATTCAAAATAATAACAATAATAATAATAATAATAATAATAAAGAAAAAAAAGAAAAGAAAAGAAACTCTTCCTCTTTCTGCTATAATTCCATTCGATGGAGATTTTTCTGCAGCTCTGAATGTGCGTGGTTATAAATAAATATATAAATATATTTAAATTGTGTGCACATAATCAGGGTTAATTGTGAATCATTAATATTTGTGACAGGACTCTTTGTCATTAAACTCATTAAACTCTGCTCTGTGTGTGTGGAGCTGTTACATCCGGGACATCGAGTATTTGTGGAGCTACAAAAATTTATTTTTACATTTTTGTGTAAATTGAACTAAACGTATATTTAGTGCGTGTGTGCAGGTGCGTGCGTGCGTAACGAGCCCGTCTGAAAACGTGCATGTGTTGATGTGTCGTGTGCAAACAGGCGCGGCCTGTGCGCGCTGAATAGGCCGTTCATGAAAAAGCTTTGCCATCATTTGGTTATGAGCTGTGAGGGGACACGGCCGCGCGCGGGCCGAGAGCAGGGGAGTCTGGGTAATATATTGTTAACAGTTATTTAGCGAGTGCTAATGGGCACGTGGATACCTGCCAGGCCTTTTATGGTGAAGGGGCACAGGGAGGAGAGTGTGCCCAGCTCCACTGGGGACTTTTTATTCACCTCTGCTTGGCACTATTTATGAGAAATAACGGTTTGTTCTCAAATTCCATGTAATTATGTTCCATGTTTCTATCCTCTGACACGCCTCAGTAAAACAGAGCTCCACTTCTGCACGTGCACAGAGTCTTCTCCTGTTTTTACAAAACAAGTGAGGTACATAGTTCTCTTCTTCTTCTTCAGCCTCACATGAGTGTGTCTTTGTCTCTTCTTCTCTCTTCTCTCTCAGCTGTGTGTGCTGCTGTCAGCTCCAGCTCCACTGGGGACACTAGAACCTGAACTCTGCCTCTGCTCCAGGGGCCTGGGAGGGCATCCTGCTTATTCTGGCCTCACTCTCTTTGTCCTCCAGAGCAGCGGCCCCTGATCTGCTCCGTGAAGTCGGCCCCAGTGAAAACCTGGTATTTACCACATGCTTCATAGAAACAGATGGATCCGTGACATTTATAGAAGATTTTACATGACAGTTTGGGTTGTGAGTTTTAGGGTTTGGGTTTAGAGTTCAACTTTTGTAGAAAGAAAAGATGCAAGACTCATAAAACGTCTCCATAAATTACCCAAATCAGATTCATATTTACTACAGATATATTAGTCAGGATTTAAACATTATTGTTATTGTTTTAAATTATGTTGTGTAACTGAGTTCCTCACAACTGAGAAAAAGATTGTAAATAGATTGTAAATAAGAATTTTCTTTAAAGTTTGTACAGTTTTAATAATAGAGCAGAAAGTTACTGTTACGGTACATCAGCATGATGCATTTGAATTCACAACAATTCACTTTAAATGTATTTGTTTCTAATCAATGATTTATTTTTATTTTTTTTTTAGACATTAAAAAAACAAAGGGGCGTATTGCAAAATAATATTTTAATTTTGAGTTTGTTTGTTTTTTTAAAATCAAATTATGGTAAGACATGTCATACATAGAATTATCCTTGATTTTCAGAGTGGTGAAAAATGATCATTGTTGTCAAATCAATTCAAATATACTATATCCAGTGATGGGAAGAGTACTTTGTAGTACTTTGTAAATGTATTTAGTTACAGAGTACTGAATACTTGAATTAAAATGTATTTTGTAATGTAATCTGACACATGGACCAATCAGAGTACTGTGTTCTGTATACTCATTGAGTTGCATTTAAATTAGGGTAAAGATGCAACATAAAAAAATAAATAGATTTTAAAAAAGTTTGTTTAAAGTCTTTCCTGTCACTATCAATAAGTGAAGATGGAAAAATCACACAAGAGCAGAGTTTTCTATTTTTCTCCTTGATTCTGTGCAGTTTGAAGCTTAAATGACATAATCAAATGTCATAATGTATTTCTTTGATTTAGGAAAAGTATTTGTTTCTGAACACCACAGAATGAAAAAGTAACTGTACCTGAATACAATACAATACTCAAAAGAAATATTCAGAACACATATTTTCAGTACATGTATTCAGTTACATCCTAACACTGACCACATTGTGAATACATACAAGGTGTTCTGAGGATTTCATTTCAGGTTTTGTATTTTCCCTGTAAAAACAAAACAAAAAAAACACAAGATTTTCATATTTTATACAACAGCCTGTGTACTGGAAAAGTACTTCTGCTCCAAACAGAAACTCAAAACAAATGTACAACAGTCTATAAGAGAAACAGATAATACTCCCTACAACTGTACAACAACTCACCCTTATGTAACAGATAATACTCCCTACAACTGTATAACAACTCAACCTTATGTCACAGATAATACTCCCTACAACTGTACAATAACTCACCCTTATGTAACAGATAATACTCCCTACAACTGTACAACTCACCCTTATGGAACAGATAATACTCCCTACAACTGTACAACAACTCACCCTTATGTAACAGATAATACTCCCTACAACTATATAACAACTCACCCTTATGTAACAGATAATACTCCCTACAACTGTCCAGCAACTCACCCTTATTTAACAGATAATACTCCCTACAACTGTACAACTCACCCTTATGGAACAGATAATACTCCCTACAACTGTACAATACAACTCACCCTTATGTAACAGATAATACTCCCTACAACTGTACAACAACTCACCCTTATGTAACAGATAATACTCCCTACAACTGTACAACAACTCACCCTTATGTAACAGATAATACTCCCTACAACTGTATAACAACTCACCCTTATGTAACAGATAATACTCCCTACAACTGTCCAGCAACTCACCCTTATTTAACAGATAATACTCCCTACAACTGTACAACAACTCATCCTTATGTAACAGATAATACTCCCTACAACTGTACAATAACTCACCCTTATGGAACAGATAATACTCCCTACAAGTGTCCAGCAACTCACCCTTATTTAACAGATAATACTCCCTACAACTGTACAACTCACCCTTATGGAACAGATAATACTCCCTACAAGTGTCCAGCAACTCATCCTTATGTAACAGATAATACTCCCTACAACTGTATAACAACTCAACCTTATGTCACAGATAATACTCCCTACAACTTTACAACTCACCCTTATGTAATATATAATACTCCCTACAACTGTACAACAACTCACACTTATGTCACAGATAATACTCCCTACAACTGTACAACAACTTACCTTTATGTAACTTGGTCTGGTTTGGTTTCCATGAAGATAGAAAGGTTTAATGCCATACTGTGAAACATTTCAGACAAAGCAACAGCATCTCCAGCAGAAAAGTTCCACAGTGTACCTTTAAGTGTAAGCGTATAAGAGGGTCTGGTGAGTTTGCGTGTCCCATTTGCAGTTTTTGAGGTGAATGACTTTGAACTTGGGCAGGGTCGGCACAGGTCAGGCTCTCCGCGGGGCTGTCTCCGGTCGCGTTTCCTCCGGTCAGCAGGGGACATCGTTGGACAGATCTTTTAACGCGCTGCACGCTCCGTTAATTGCAAAGTTGAGTCATAATCGCCGGAAGTCGTGGAAGAAATGACTGGTGACAAATTAGGCTGGTGGTGGTGTTTTTTTTTTTTAGAATAAGGAAATGCCAGTGTAAAACCAGAATGATGAGGACTGCTTTTGTGTTAGAGTTCATGTAACAAACGTTTAAAGATATTATTTGAAGTAGAGAAGTCATGTCCCTGAGCAGACTGTCATATCTTCAAGAGCAATACTACACTATTTTCTATTTTATAATGTTGTTTCCTCATCAAAAACAAGGAAATGCCAGTGGAAAAACGTGTGTCTGAATCATAGTGGCTGCTTTTGTATTTGGGTTCATATTTCTGTTTGTGGTTTACAGACACATATTTCCTATAATAATATTCATTCTTATAATTATATTTTCTGTAGTAGTAATGTTGTTTCCTCATCACAAATAGTCCTGGAGTTGTGTTTTGTTTCATTCACATGTTTAACACGCAAACT